ACCAAGGAGTGCTGGAAATGTTTCGTGTGGTTTAAATCAGTCATCTTCATATCCTCGCACAAGTTTATGACGTGGTTTCTGCTGTTGTACTGTGAATAATGTCTACTTCACAGGAAACCTGCGTTATATCATTTAAAATTCATTACCAGTTATGACTGTATAGCCTATGGGAGGTTAAATGTTGCAATTTTTTGCTTTGTTAATATTTTTATATCAGTTAATCTCCTGACTTAACCTGGTGAAATCATTTTGAAATGGTTTTGTTTATCTTGGCGAGCTAGCTTCAGCTTATCAAAGGTTGCTTTTAGAAGACTGTTTTCCCAGAGTTCTTTGTTTCGAATGTTTTTAGTGAGATGAAATGTTTTGTGTAAGACATTCGACACACATTTAACACAATTTTTGATTTGCTTTTTTGACAGTTAGATTTCCAACGCTCGAGTTTTATTTGCTAATTTGGTTTGAAATACTTTCAGGTCCGTGCCCGCTACGAGAAGGTCCTGGAGGAGGTGAACAACTACGCTCCTCGCTACATGGAGGAGATGGAGTCCGTCTTTGACCAATCGCAGGAGGAGGAGCGCAAGAGGATTGTATTTCTCAAACAGGCTTTCCTCTCCATCCACAAACACCTGGACATTACCAACAATGAGAGGTGAAGCACGGTGCTTTGTACGCGTGCGGTGTTGAGAAAAGGTGCTGCTGCCGCTGCTGATTAGAGGATTGATGTATTTGATTAAACAAGTAGCACAGATTCGTCTTATGTGTGAACCCTGCAGCTTGTGTCGGGCTGTCTTTAGAGTTAAGTATGTTGAAATCAATAATTTGACTTAATTTACCTCTAATTAAAAGCTATACCACTACATTTTATCACATCACCGACTCTCTTCTACTCTAATAAAGGAAATACTGGATACGATGGCAACTTAATTACTTTATAAAAATGAGCCAAAGCCACAGGGAGAGGAGAGAAATTATATACACTATTAATCTGCTTAATTTGGGGGGAACACTTAACTTAAAGTGTCCCGGATTGCAGTGTAAGTGAATTAAGTATGTTTTTAATTATATAACCATCAGTATCCAGAGTACACATAAAATTTGTAACATATATTCCAGATCATTGGGTTTCTTATAGCATGGTGTTTATTAAGTACCATGAGGCATACTATACCTAAAGGACACAGGGTATTTCCAGCAGTGTGAACCTCTCTGAAGCTAAATGTGAGAAAAGAGCTGTGGAAAATATCCAAAATTCACACGAGACAGCACGACTGTTTTTGATAAGTAGGATTATTAGAGGAGAGATGATCTCTTCCAGCAAAATTTTAGGAACATATCAGCATAGATTAAAATCAAATTTGAGATTTTTGTGTTTATCTCTCGGCATTTAGTGTGCGGGCCGTGTACAATGAGCTCCACAACACACTGATGGCCATCGATGAGCAAGAAGACCTTCGCTGGTGGAAAAACACCCACGGCCCGGGCATGCCAACTGACTGGCCTCACTTCCAGGTATTTCCCTTTATTTTCCAGCATTTTAAGTTTAACTCTGTTCACTTTATTTATGTTACTTATATTCCAATGTTTTTTCAGGAATGGACACCTGAAAAGAAAAGCAAAAAAGGGAAAAAAGAAGTGGAAAAATCAGGAACAATAGAGAAGAGGTGAGGATATTATTCTGAACGGGAACTGTTAATGTTGTCGAGCTTTTTTTGAAGCAAACAAAGATTAATCTCTTTCTTCTCTCTTTTCCACTGACAGCGTGATGATCGGGGGAGTGAGAGTAAGAGCTCTGTATGATTACGTCGGCCAGGAGACAGATGAGCTGTCCTTTAAAGCAGGTAAACACTGCAAGATGAATGACGTCACTGTGAACTCAGCCGCGTCTCTGCATATTCATATTTTGAAGCCTCAGCTTTGTCTTGAAGGCTGCAGTCATGTTTTTGGAGCCAGAATGTGGACCATATTTGGAGGAGAGGGCGCAGGGCTCACATAAATACTTTCCTGCCTAGTGTATGGGCTCAGTCACACATTCTGGCTCACACTGAATACAAAATTAAGTCCATACCATATTTCAAAGTGGAGGATTAGTTGTCATATGAAACCGCACACTCATTGGCTCGCAAACTTTCGATTCCAATGGGGTAGCCAGTCAGAACTGACCCTCTTTGTTAGGTTTTTGCATCCTATAAGGTCAACAGCAGAAAAGCTTTTCTCAGTGACCTGAAGCTGTCATTCAAAGAGGCCACATGGCTACATTAAATTTCTAGTTCACGATTATTCTAGTAATGAGTTTCAGGATTGTTTTGTTTCAAGTCTTGGTTGCTATTCGTTGCAGTTATACTTCGCAGTTCCTTCCTCTATCTCATCTTTCTGTTAGTGTCTGCACCACATTTTTCAGGTCTGGTCTGATTTTAGTGTGTCTTTTGGTTGTTTTCTTTTTATATGTTGAAGGCTCCTTTCATGCCTTGCATTATTTTTCCTTTTTCCTTTAGTGATTCTTTTCATCTGTGTCTCAATCCCAAGGGTCTTCCTCTTTTTTTTGTTGTTACTCTATAAGTTTTCCCAGATTATTTAATAGCTTTTGTACATTTTGATTAGTTGCCCTTATTTACCCATCTTGCCTTCTCTGGACTTTAGTATATCAGCTTGAAAATAAAGCTCAAAACATATTTATGTATCGATTGCAACTTTATCGGTGAATCTTTGGGTATTAGCTTTTGAAGGCTGCCTCAAGTGGTCGTTAGAGAAACTGCACTTTGGTGCCTTACTTGCTGAAAGCACCCCTATACAACTTTATTTCAAATGTACTACGACTATTATTACATGAAATTACTAAGCAGAATGGTTTGAATCATTGATTTTACAGTTAAATAAAATATACGCTTGAGCTGTTATAGGCTCTTTTTATGGTTGCTGGCCTGACAAAACAAATATAAGGGTTATAGGGCTTCGCTCACCCCAACTGTTTGCAGCAGATGGCCCCGCCCCTCCCTGAGCCTGGTTCTGCCAGAGCTTTCTTCCTGTTAAAAAGGAGTTTTTCCTTCCCACTGTCGCCAAAGTGCTCATAGGGGGTCATATGATTTTTGGGTTTTTCCTCTGTATGTGTTATTGTAGGGTCTACCTTACAATATAAAGCGCCTTGAGGTGACTGTTATATATAAATAATATTGAATTGAATTGAATAGATGTTTAAAAAAATGTTGCAATAGTTTTAAAAAACAAATACAGAAATTAATTTTCTCTTCCTCCCTCCAGGTGAAGAGTTTCTAAAGATCGAGGATGAGGACGACCAAGGATGGTGTCGAGGGAAGAAGGATGATGGGTGGGAGGGGCTTTACCCAGCCAACTACGTGGAGGTGGTGTAGTTACCTGAATGTGAAAGATCTTTGTTATATCAAATACCCCATGACAGCCTGAGTAAATATATAAACGTCTAAAAACACTAAATCAGTGCTGTAAAAGTCCACATAAAGTAGCTGTTAGCCAAAGAAGCGAGTCAGCACAAGACGATGGAGATTTTGACATACAGAGATTTTTAAAAGTGCCCAGGTTTGTAATCTCTTGAAGGACTTTTGATATATGTTTTGATATACACACTATGCGTAGACCACTTGTATTGAAGCCATATAAATAAACAATGCTTTAATGTAAAGAAAGAAATAACATGCTGGAGTATAACGGTGCACAGTTATTTGGTGCTGGAGTCAGTGATGTAGCCAGAACATTTTAAAGGGGTGGCCAAGCTAAGACCATTACATCCATCGTCACACGGATTTTTATTTTTCCTGCATGGAAAATCACTGCAGGTCAGAGAATGTATGAGTATGTTTGTACATAGCCCTTTAACAGGTGTCATTATTGGTTATGTGGGGTGGCCACAGGGCTAGTCTACAGCAGCCATCCCCTGCCACCCCTCGGCTTATCCCCTGAATAAAATGTGTGTGGGACTGCTATTTTCTTTAAGCTGTTTTTTAAGCCTCATGCGATTAAAATGCTCACAAAGCCTCACAATATATGAAGAAAGCGTTGCTAAAACTGTGATTATAATTATTCCGAAGCAGCCGTACAGTTGGAGTCAGCCTAATAGATGCAGAAAGCCATGTCGACTGTATTTCTCTCCTGTTTTTGTGGTTTAAAGGAACAGAAAGTCATTAGGAATCCTGTATAACCCTCAGTTAGCCAACAGTGAAGCTGCGTTACCCACACCAGCATCCACTCACACCCCACAAAGTCCAATGCTGTCTTAGTTCATACCGAGTTGACTTAAATCAGCTTTCATCACTATTTTCCTATTAAGAATTTATTGCTTGACTATTTGTATGTGATAGAGATTGAACCCAGTGGCAAACCCAGAAGAAAATCCAGAGAATATCTTAATATTTCACCTCGCTGGTTTTACTCTTTCGGGCTCACAGCTTTACAGTTTTGGTTCACTCTTACTCAAGCTGAGAAAATGCTCTTAAAATCCACTCAATGTGACCTTAGCAGCACCAGCTACAGCAGACAAACAGACACACTTAGCAGCTAAATCACCAAATATTTCCAACAAGGCTAAAAACACAACTAAATGTTTTTTATATTGCTTCAAATTTGTTTATCAATTTGCAGCTGTTCATCATTTTGAAATTCTTATTGCTTGTCCTTTTCTGCCCAGCCTCTGCATCAGTGAGGGAAATGCTCACAGTCAGGGTTGCCATATACTCTTTGTGAAGGCAACACGATCATTACTAGTTTGTTTCCACTGACCCCAATCAGTCAGTCCAAGTTTAACACCCTGCGCTGGAATGACGCTGCAGTTTAAGAAACAGTTTACGGTGTAATATTTCTTCACCAGTACTGTACCTGCTAAACTGAACTGTTAGAGGTCAGTTAACACGTATTACATTAAAAACAAGCAGGTATATTAAACTGCAGGTTATTATAAACACTTATTTTTCACTCCTTGTTACAAAATACAATGAAGGCTGAAAAACAGATTTAATAACACGCTGACATAAACAATAAAACTTCCTAGCTGGGCCTTGTTAGCATACATTGCATTATATTCTTACACACTCCCTAAATTTTGTATTCCTACGCTTTGTTATTCATTATCACTCACACAGCATATGAAC